ATATCAGTGATGCAATGTTTTATTTCCTTTATTAATTCTTTGGTTTTAAGACAATCACTTAACAATTATAAAAGGCTAAATTTCAATTTAAAATATATTATTTACAATTGATAATAGTTCGTGTATAAATTAAAATATGTTCTTGTAAAACGAAAACGTCACACCTCACAGTTTGCACTGTTTTAAATATATTTTAAACACAAAAACCATATTTTAAACACAAAAAACTATCCCAAGTGGTCACAGGGAATGACAGAGTTGAAGAAACTCACATTCTGTGGCCTTGTCTTCATAATTGCTGTGCTGTCAATATTTGTTTCAACTCTGCAGTTTAAACGCAGGGTCTGGAGCCCTCATCTGGGCCCTAAGTGAGCTTGTGTGGTTGGCAACCATGGAAACTTATGCGTGACCTGGTCCCAGAAGTTGGGGGCGGTCAACCTTGCAACTGACAGCTCTCTGAATTAACCTCCACGTGGAACACATTGCTGACTAAAGAATACATCATAAAATGTGCAAATTTGAAGTTTACGGCTGTACTAATAAAACACAATAGTAAATGCAGCATTCTTTGAAAATTAGACAAATAAAATATTATTGAAGGAGAGCTATTTTCTCAGTGATAATATTTAGAATTGCCCATTCTTGGATGTTGAATTCTCTCAGAGCGGTGCACCCCTTTTGCCTTCACTGGGGGCAGACTGCTCCCACACCGGGCCTTGGCACCTGCCTGCAGGATCAGACTCCCTCTCACAATCCGCCCTGCCCCTGTGGTGGTCCCAGCCCTGATCTTTCACCTGATTCCTGTCATTGTCACTGTGTGGGCTGAACCGTGGCACCCTCCCACTTCCCTCCTACAAAATTCACACGTGGCAGTCCCCACCCCAGAACCTCAGAATGTGACCATATTTGGAGATGGAGACTTCAAAGAGGTAATTAAGGTAAAATGAGGTCATTGGGGGTGGGCCCTAACCCAATATGACTGGAGTCCTTATAAGAAGAGACTAGGACACAGACACATGCAGAGGGAAGACCACGCGGAGACGGCCGTCTGTGGGGTTTGCTCTGGCGGCCGAGTTGACCACTATGGTCACCTAAGAGGGTCGCACGCTTCTGTCCTCACCCCCCTGCGGTCCTTCCCCATCACAGCAGCACAGTGATCCTCCAGGTTGGACCATGCCCTACCTCTGCTCCGCCCCTCCAGGTCCGCCTTGCCCCAGGCTCTCTAGCAGGCTTCTGACGTCCTCCCCAACCCTGGCTTCCCCTCCCCCTGCTCCCTGCAGGCCCCAGGGGCCTCTTCCCTTTGCTGGTTACTCTGCAGGATACCTCCCATTCAGATGTCTACACTGCAGCTCCACCACGACCTTGCCTCTTAAAAAGCCACCTCCTCATGGGGCATTGCAAAATTCACGCTCTCCATCCCACACTTCCTCTCTCTCCTGCCGGCTTTGCCCCTCCTATTAGCACACAATCTCACATTCCTGCCTGCTGTATCTCACCTGGTGGCGGAATGAGGTCACCTGTCCTGAATTCCAGAGCCTAGGACAGGGCTTGGCACAGAGCAGGTGACCGGTAACCATTCATCGATGGAAAAGATGAACACATGAATGAATGTCCAGCCCCTTGCAAGCCCGTCTGCCAGAGCAGGGAACAGCCCTGACTTCTTATTAAATAGCTCCATCCCTGGGGCCTGGGCTAACAGCTGGCACATCTAAATTTTGAATTCAAATGTGCTGATTCCCTTGGATTTCACCACACTCTCTGAGCAGACTTACAAATACAGCTAAGATTGCAGAATTAGTCCCCCAGGACTTGGCTCTTTCAACTGGGAGGTGAAATGGGATTTCAGAGCAGGGGTGGAAATAAGAGGCTTGAGGGGCTTTGCCAGGGATACAGGGTTTGAGGAAGCTTCTGGAAGTTCATTCACCCATAACGCTATCTATTATGCCTAAAATCCAGACACAAGGGTTTGGGGGTGGGGCTGTCTAAGCCACTGTGCATTTCCTTTGGGACATGCAGCCTGGGGAGAAGCCCACACAGCTCATTGATTCACCAGCCACATTTGGACACCCCTCCCCAGCCTGGGGCCTGGATGGGAGACAGGATTCTATCAAGAGCCAGTTGTCTCCCCCCAGTCCAGGGTCTTTATCGGTGAGTGACGCTGAAACTCGCCCCCTCCATGGGGTCCCTCACCCCTCCCTGGACCTTCAAGCTTTGGCCAGGCTAAGCTGTCAGTGACATGGAAAGGCTCGTTGGAGAAGGTACAGCTTTCCAAGCTGTCAGTTCAGGCTTCCCAGAAAGGGCTTTAAAGTCTGATGCGCCGGCCCCTCCCTTGGCTAAGGACTGGCACGTTCTTTCCTCCCCTGCCTCAGTTTGCTTACCTATAAGCTGAGGAGGGCCGTGCCCACCTGGCAGGTGCATGTGAAGGTCCAGAGCAGTGTAGAGAAGCAGCTGTCCTGGAGTCAGTTAATGTGGGGAAGCAGCGTGACCTAGGACAGCACTGAGGGGACACAACCCCAGAGGCTCCAGTCCTGGAGTCCAGGCAGGACACTGAACAGAGAGGCAGAGGCACTGGCCACCGGCCTTGCTGCCTCTGCCTTCCTGCCCAGCAGCTGTGCCTGAGGCCCGCAAGGCAAGCACGTGGGCCGTTAGACCCAAGGGCTTGAGAGCAGCCATCCTGAGGCAGCTGACGGCAGGGATGGGGGGGACCTTTGTGTCTGCCAGTCCCCTCCTGAGGCTGGGGTCACTCTCCTCACCAGGGGTCTCTGTTTCACCAGGCAGTTCGTCTATTCCAGTCCAAGGGACCATCACCAAAGAGCATTTCATGCAAACTACTGAGTGTGTGGGATTTATCCAGGATCTGCTTTCTTTAAAATAGTATCAGGGTCTCCTTTTGTTAATTGCAGAGCCATTACTAAGGGAAGGGAAAAGGGCAACCTTCCTTTTCTGGGGGCAAAATCTACTAGAAATGAAGAGATTCTCTCTTGTTGGTGATGGGAAGCTCACAGGGATGGGGAAATCTCAGAGGGGACCCCAAATGTTTCTGCATCACTTTTGGCTGCACTTGACCATCAGAATGGCCTGTCCGAGCCTGAGGAACCCTGATGATGTCCAGTCAAGGCCACAGTGATGTGGTGGAGGCCTCTGGGGCCAGGACCTCACAGAGCCACGAGGGTGACAAGTGTCTCAGTTTGCCTGCCCAAGGTTTAGCTGGACGTTCTGCTCACTCTAGAACAGTGTGGCCTCTGCACCTCTGCACGCTGATCCGTCATCCTCTCTGCTGCCACCTACATGCCCTCTGACCCTGTCACACCTTTGCCCTTCCTGACCAGGTGGGAGGTCAGGGGCCAGGTTTCCAGGGGCCAGTGTCAAGTAGGCCAGTGGTGAACCCATTTGTGCCCCCTGGCCCTGGAGTGCTGCCTGGGGCTGGGGAGCTGGCAGCCAGGGGTTAAATGGTGTCCACATTGACCAGAAGGCAGGGGGTGCAGTTTCTAGGGAGCGAAGCCACTCCTCCTGGGGCGTGGGGCACAGGAAGCTCTTCCAACGTCCTGGGAGAAAAGTTGTGTAACTACCTTCTGGGTTAAGGAATTATTTAGTCTACTTCTTCCTTTACTGGCCAGGCCCTGTGCTGGGGGCTGGGAAACGCTGACGCATAGAATGCTGTTCTCCTCCTGGGGTTCAGGTCTGTGGGAGGGACAGGCACTTAGCAGAAAGGACACTGTGAGGGCTAAAGCCCCTGAGGGAGAAAGGAGGTGCCGTGTGTGAGTGCGTGTGTGTGCACACGTGCATGTGTGTGAGTGCACACTCTTATGAGGCACGCGGCCCAGTCTAGGGGGCGGGGAGGGAGACAGAAGAGGGCCCCAGGGAGAGGGCAAAACTCAGAGCCAGGGAGACACAGGGATGGCCTTGATCGAGCTCAGCCATCCTGGGAGGGCCCCGAGTGGCATCAAGGAGCCACATAAAACCCAAGAAACTTAGAGTCCATTGTAGTCTAAGACTTGGGGCTGCCTCTCACTCACTCTTATACCCTCATTCTCTCTTTCTTTCTCTCATTTTCTCTCTCACTCGCACCCACACACTCTCTCTCTCTCTTTCACTGTGAGGCAGGCATCCAAAGGTTTTCCACATCCTCAGATGTCACAGTGAGACGAGACATGTTAAGAAAGGGGAAATTTTGTGCCTGGAAAGCGATGGTGCATCCTTCATTTATTAACAGTGAAGAAACTGGGTACCAAAATCTTGCTAACTGCTTTGATGTACTAGAAACAGAACTCTCTTTTTGTACGAAAACATTTCAGTGTATATTTAGAAAACTTCTACGTGAAAATTTAAAAAAATCTTATTCAAAAACCCACACAACTTTTATCAAAGTTATGAATACATGGGGTTTAAAGAGTCTCACAGCCCAACAGCTTTTGTTATGCAAAGCAGCAGTCTCCTTGCCCCACCCCACTGTTTCCTGCTCCCCAGAGAAAACCAATTTTCAGCAGTTCTTTTGATGTTATGTTCACAATTCTAAATAAAATGCTTACATTGCTAACTTTTAATTTTCCAGTTCTGGGCATTATTCTTTTACTTCTCGCCATGGAAAGTGGGGAATTATTTTTCATTCACACTCATTCTAGGCAGCACCACACACATATTCTAACACTTTCCATCCCCCATTATCAACAACATAGTTACATCCTAATTCTGCACGGATTCTGCATGGATTGAGAAGACAGAAGTTCCCACACTCCTGGGAAAAGACCCATTGTTCTGTAGCCATGGTAACAAATAACAGCAGAGCGGCGGGGCGGGGGGTGGGGGCGGTTTAAACTTTTTCAGTGGAGAGACAACAGCTGACTTCAAGGAACATGCTTTGCAGCCAACCAATCAGTGTCAGCTCCTAGCTGAAACTCAGCCAATCAGAGATGGACACAGTCAATTAAGTGGCCTCTGTGTGCCAGCCAATCAACCATATTGTGTCTCATCCAGTCACCTTCAAGTGATGATGAATGACATCATCCACAGTCTGGATGGATGGCCAGTCCTTGCACTCCTGGCTCCGTGCTCTGGGAGACTGCCTGAACAGCAAAGCCCTCCTTTTCTCAAGTGAGCAGTAAGTTCAGCTTTGCATTATATTTTAGAGTTGAAGGATAGCCTCATCATCCTTGACAAGATGAACATTCATTATTTACAGTGTGACTATGTTAAGGCTTTTCACAGGCAGGCCCTTTCTTGCATAACATTTTGTTTTACCTGGAGTTAATGATTGCTTTATGTTTTTCATTTGCTTAGTTTTCTTTTCCTTTCTTGCATAACTATTTTGTTATACCTGGAGTTAATAATTGTTCTATATTTTACATTTGTTTGATTTTTTTCTGTACTTGTCTCTAATTTATCCCCAAACTCTTCTCTATTGTCCATGCTTCTTCCCTGTTGGCGTAAATTTCCTCTCACTGTGTTCCAATACATTAGCTGTTCTATCAATTTTGTTCTCCTGCAAAGTGCCCCTTAGAGCTCCTGACCTCCCCAGCTGCTCTGGCTATCCTGGCCCTGCTGCTAGATCATCTTAGGGTCTCCTTCATGGCCCACCTGGGAACCCCTTTCTGTTGTCTGTCCCATTGGACCCCTTTTTCCTGCAGCCCTGGAAGGGTGATGCCTCACTTTGGAGAAGCCCATCCCCTGAGGGCTTGCTGAGGAAGGGTGCAGGGGAGGACAACCTGAATGCTTGCATGTCTGAAAAAGTCTTATACTCTAACTCCTGATGAAACCAAACTACTGGTATAGAATTCTCTGATCAAGATTATTTTCCTTTAAAATTTTGAAGGTATTGCTCTATTTTTTTCTGGTTTTCAGAATTACTAATAAGACACTTGTTGCATTCTGACCCTCAAATCACTGTATCTAACTCACGTTTGCTTATTTTTATATCGTCTCTGAGAGCTTGTAGGATCTCAGTTAGTCCTCAGTATTTGAAACGTAATGATGACAAGCTCATTTATCCCACATGCTCCCATTCCTTCAGGTTGTCCTGTTGCAAGTTCAAGCTCATTCACCAACTTCTCTTTTTCCTCCCTCTCCCCAACCCCCTGCCCCAGACTCTGAGGTGCTGGGGTGGAGCTTTAGAGCCAGTGGGGAGGGAGCATTGCAGCAGGCCCCTCTGCTGAGTGTGTCTGGCCCAGGCTTGGTCCTGATGATTGCCATCTGTCCCTGCCGGCATCTGATGGTACTTCCATGTCCTCCTTGGCCTGTGGTCACTGATACCCGACACTTAACTCTGTGTCTCCTTCTGTGAACTCTGAGACCACTGGCCCGTTGATCCTGTAACAGACACAGGACACTGGGTGGGGGACTGCTTTAGGCCTCTCTGCCACCTCCCGGGGTTCCCACAGGAAGTGGGATGCACATTCCCACAGCTTTGGGGGTAGCCTCCATTTTCTGGGGGTTCTATCATCCCTGCTTTGGGAAGTGACCTGGGGTGGGGGGGCTGCAGGGCAGGAGGTCTTTAGCAGCACCCAGCCCTGTTGCCTTCTTCCCTGCCCTCTCCTCCCCCAGCCCAGGAGCCCCCATGGCTCTGTATGTGTGTGTGTGTGTTGGGGGGTACCTGGTGAGGTGGTACCTGCCCATCCTATCACTCATGCAGGGACTCCATCTCTTTTTTTTTAAAAAGTAATTAATTAATTAATTTTTCGCTGCATTGGGTCTTCATTGCTGCATGCGGGTTTTCTCTAGCTGTGGTGAGCGGGGCTACTCTTCATTGCAGTGCGCGGGCTTCTCATTGCGGTGGCTTCTCTTGTTGCAGAGCTTGGGCTCTAGACGTGCGGGCTTCAGTAGTTGTGCCTTGTGAGCTCTAGAGTGCAGGCTCTGTAGTTGTGGCGCATGGGCTTAGTTGCTCCGCGGCATGTGGGATCTTCCTAGACCAGGGCTTGAACCCGTGTCCCCTGCATTGGCAGGCGGATTCTCAACCACTGTGCCACCAGGGAAGCCCCAGGGACTCCATCTCTTATTGGTCAGACCCCGTTGCTCCTGGAGTGCTGTCTCTGTCCTGGGCTCGGGCATCCCTTTGCGACACTGCAGAAGGCTGCCACATGGTCTCTCTGCTCCTACCCCTGCTTGGAGCAGCCCCAAGGGGCTTTTTTTGTTTGTTTGTTCAACTTGTAGCCCAGGTTGGTCCCTTCCCCTCTCCCTGTCTTCTGATGACTTCCCTCCAATGCTCGTGTTCAATGTCTACTTGGCTTCTGTCACCTCCCCTGCCCTTCTCCTTGTCTCCTTCCTCCAGTGCATTGGCTCCTCGACTGCTCGTTAAAGCTGCCAGTCTGGCCTCGGGACCTTGGTGTTGCTTTCCCCGCGGGGACGTTCTCCCAAGCCCTTCCTACCCACTCATTCATGTCCCTGCGAGTTGTCACCAGAGTGCATCCTTCTCGACCCTCCCAGAGTTTCTCTTCCCCTTCCAGAGGACAGTGGAAGGGAGCCCATGATATGGGGAGTGTGGAATCGTGTGTTATTTCACGAGGGTTTCGCACTGGCTGCACGTGGGCTCCAAGGCAGAGACTCCCCTGACTGGTCTTGTCATCTCCAGTCCTGACTGAGCTGACGTGGGGCAGGCACTTGGTAAGTTGTTTGCATGAATGTGAACCCGGGGCTGAGCACTGACTCACGCTGCCATCTTCTCCATTCTGCCATGGAAACCCTTTGCTGTGAGTGGGGCCCACACCGAGCCCTCCAGGCTGTGTGCTGAGCCGGGGAAACACACACCGGCCAGAGAAGCAACATTCCTTTACCAGAGCAGCCTAAATTCAGTGTGTGCTAATTAGACCTCTCAGTGTCACCCTGCTTCCTCTAAACCTCTGAACCAGGAGGGGTCCCTGGTTCCATCCCCTCCCATCCCCAGCCAGGCTCTGCCTGTCTGCTAACGTGTTCCCCTGGTGTTCTGGGGTGGAGAGCGGGGAATTAGCAAAGTGCCAGGCACCCGTGCCCAGACCCCTGAGTCCCCTTCTCCTGGCCCCGCCCAGCCTGGCCTTACCTGTGCCTTCACTCTCTTCTAGTTTTATGTGAGGGCTTTATCTGCAGTCACACAGGCTGCCCTGTCCCATGTGTGGGAGCCAATGGGAATACAGGGAATTAAACCCCCCTAAGTGGCCCTCAACCAGTGAGTCTCAGGACTTCTGTATAACTTCTCCAGCTCCCTCACCCTGAGGTGGGATGAATCTGAGGCCCATGTTTTACACTGTTTCCCAACGGGATGAAGCTGGTGGTGTGCTGCTAAGTGTTTATCAACCAGTTCTCGGGGGTGGGGGGTGGGGGGTGGGGCGGGACGAACCGGATTTGTAGTGTTTGCAGATTTCCATGGTGTGAAAACTCCCACCATGACTAATATCAGCCAGCACGTGACATAGCTGAACGTGAAGCTGGGAGGAGGTGCACCCCATGAACCAATGTGAACAAAAGAGCAGGTGTGAACCCAGGGACGATGTGAGCAGAGGGCAGGTGTGAGCCTAAGGGCAGGTGTGAGCCTGAGGGCAGATGTGAGCCGGCTCCAGCTAGCCTGGGACGTCAGCACGTCTTCCTGCCTTCCCTTTCCTGTCTCCCTCCCCTCCTGCTGGGATCCCCGCTCCTCCCAAATAAATGATTTCCACTTGAATCCTGTCTCAGGACCTGCTTCTGGGGAACTCAGTCTAAACAGCCAGAGTTAGCTCCAGAAGGGATCGTGGGTGTTGTCCATTTTTAAGATGAGGAAGCGGAGGCCCAGAGAGGGGAGATGACTCCCCAGGGCCCCAGGCTGGGTAGCAGCAGATCCAGCTTCAGAATTCCCAGGGTCAGGGGTCATCTTCAATTACCATCTCAACAATGTGGAGGTTGGGGTCACACCCAAGAGTGCATTGCTGTCACGTGTCTGTGCCTGGAGACAACCCCTTTGCAGGGAGGTACTGGGCAGTCCTGCAGCCCAGGGTTACGGCAGGACAGAAGGGGAAGAGTAGGGGCTCAGGGGTGAGGCAGGCAGGGTTCAGAATTCTCGCTGTGCCTTTCTAGGGTGAGCCAGGATGTCACTTTTACATCAGCAGCCTTTCCATCTCTGTAAGGTAGTGATGGTGATTCTGACATAGAGAACCGCCTGCAGACATTCCCTTAGTGCCCAGCACACAGTAGGTCCTCAGTGAGCGAGGATGTGGAGAATGGTGATGAGTATGCCAGGTAGAGGCAGTCACAGTGTCCCGCCATAAACTGGGTTCCTTATCTGCACAGAGGGAGCAGGAAACAAGCCAGCAGCTGGCTGGGGGCGTGTGTGAGGTGACCTGAGGGATGCAGGTGGGGCCTCCACTGGCAGGCACCCTGAGGAGCCCCATGAGGCTGCCACGCCCAGCGTGCTCCGGGGGCCAGGGCTGTCCCGGGCCCTGAAGGTCATGACTGTCTCTCCACATTCATTCCTCACCCAGCTCCTCCCAGGAGAAATGGGCTCAAGCGCGACGTCACCTCAGTCATGGAGCTGTCACAGCTACAGATGTGTGGTGGTGCCGTGGGCTGATTACTGCTACAGGTAAATGCTGGGAAGGGGTGTGGGGGTTAGGCTGGATTTCTGTACTGCACATTTGCAGAAAATAATATTATATTTTTAGAAAGCATTTTCATCCAATTCCCCATGGCTGGTTCCCCTTTGTTCTTCTATTTCTTGGTGAGATGTTATGCAATGATTGGTTAATTTGAACTTTTATCGAGGATAATTAGCAAAAGTTAGCCATTGGAATTAGTAGGACTTTTTTTTTTTTAATCAGATGGAGTGACAGCATTTTGAGATGAGGCCATTCTGGACAGAGAGGCAAACTCTCCTGGGAGCCCTGCACTGAGGTGAGAAGGACTCGGGTTCCCCTTGTAGCCAAGGGCCCTCCCATCACAGGGACTGTCTCCACGTTCTGAGGACTCCATGTGCCCCAGCCCGCTCTGCAGGTCAGTGCATGGCAGAAGATCAGCCCACGGTGGGAGGTAGGTGGATTTGGGCTCGCGCCCTGCCTGCTCTCACTGCAGTGTGATTTGACGCTTTTTGGTTTCTCTGGGCCAGTCTCCTTTTCTGTTGGGTGGGCTGTGTGTCCACCTTGGGTTGTCATATGGACTCAGGAAATCACAAGCTACAGCTCCAAGCTCCATGCTGACACAGGGTGGGCACAGGGTGTCATAGTTCCCTCTGCCTCTTGTCAAACTGCCTGATTGCAGTTTTTATTGAGCACCTATTGTGTGCATATCCCTCTGCAAGCCTGGCCCCTGTCCTCTGGGGACTTGGATTCCTTCCCTGGCCCCTTCCTGCATGAGGAAGAGTGCAGGGTGATGCTGACAATAACCCACCTATAGGAGTGACCCCTACCTGCCAGGCACTGTTCCCAGTATCTATGTGAATTACTTCATTTAACCTTCCCAGCAGCCTTTCCCCCATTTTACAGGCGTGGAAGTTGAGCATAGGGAGAGTAAGCAACTCATGTGAGGCCCCAAGACCAGACTGATTGATTATGGGGGGGGGAGGGGTTGTTGATAATGGAGGAGGCTGTACACGTTGAGGAGCAGGTAGTTTATGGGAAATCTCTGTACTCTGTGCACAAAATTGCTATGGACAAAACGACTGCTCTAAAAAATAAAGGCTATTTTTTTTTTTTTTTTTTAATGGCTGGCGTCTTGCAGTGCCTGGTCATGGTAGAAGTTAGGCATAAAGCAGAGGACCTGGGGATTTAACTCAAGGGCTCTAGGAATCCATGGAAGAGTCCACAGCAGAGAGGGCATGATGGGATTTGTTCTTTAAGCAGATGTCTCTCATCATCAGGCAGGGAGCACTGCAGGGCCCTGTTTGGCTGTGGTGGGGATTCCTGTGTTCCTGTGTGGGGAAGATTTTGCAGAAAGCGTCTGCCCTCCCATTCCTACCCAGCACTGCTAAGCCATCTGGACCCTCTGAGGTAGCACTGGATGACCCTCCCAAAGGACTTCATCTCATACCCACTCCATTCTCTAAATGAATTTTTCTCCAAGCATACAACTTAGTTTGGAAAGTCTCGTAGAAAAATATTTTCATCTATTAATTATGTTCTCATGGGTTCCTTGGAATGCAACACGAGATGAGAATCCTTTGAGCTCAGCATCTTGTCTTTTTCCTAAAATTTCCCCTAGATTGAGGAGCCCACTTAACAGAAGGCGTAGTCTAAATATTCCTATTACCCATCACTTTCCCATCTGAAGAAAACTAAAAACTGGACAAAATATAAAACAATGGTTTTCCAGCACTGGACTGTGATCCATGGGGCAGAGTAAAGAAATGAAGTGAACCCTAAGACACGTCACTTACTGCCTGTAGGGAGTTTCAGCCACTGTGCAGGGAAGTTGAATCCAAGCAGAGCCTTGTAGTCTTCCTGAATTGAAGAGACAGCTGGACCTGTGAGAGGCTAAGGCAACCGGAGTTTTCAGGGCAGGTTTTGGAGAAGAGATCTATGGAGGGTCCTCTTAGGTCTTGAGCTGAGTACTGGTCAGCGTACTGCATGTCAGGAAACGACCTAAGTCCAGGGAAAGAGCCACTTGAAAGGAACAGAAGGAACAACCCTCAGAGCTCACAAAGGGGGCTGGGAAGAGTTTGTGTTCCCACCAGCTGGTGGAAAACCTTGTAATTCATGGGGAACTGGATAGAGTACATAGGAGGGTATATCCTCTGAAGTTAAACAAATTTAGCCCCAGAATAATGGCTGCTCTAGTTCTGCCTAACAGATCTTGAAGGTAAGCCTTGACAAGGTCAAACTGCTTCCAGGTAACTAAACTGTATCTTAGACAAAAGTTCAAGAATATTTAAAAATAAAAATATTCAATAAACAACAAAGTAAAATTCACAATATCTATCTAGTCAACAAGTACTAATTATTCATCAAAGCATGAAAATATGATGCATGACAAGAGAAAAACTAATAAAAACAGAACTGCAAATGACACAGATAATAGACTTATTAGACAAGAGCATCAAAAGAGTTTTAACTTTGTTCCATATGCTTTGGTAGGTGGAGGAAAGATTGAGCATGTTAAGTAGAGGTAGAGAATATATAAAAAAGGTCAAGCAAGATTCTAGAGGTAAAAATGAATATATCTGAGATGAAAAATACACTGAATGGGATTAATGACAGATTAATGCTGAAAAGACTGATGAATTTGAAGAAATAGCAGTAGAAACTATCCAAAATGAAACAGAAGGGAAAAAAATCAGACTGAAAAAAATATGAACAATGAACTGTGGGAAAACTTCAAGAGACCTAAACATGTGTAATTGGAGTCCCCAAAAGAGAGGAGAGGGGGAAGGACAGAAAAAATATTTGAAGGAATAATGGCTGAAAAATTTCCAAGTTGGATGAAAGCTATAAACCCACAAGGAGCTCAATGAACCCCAAACAAAAGAAATAAGAAAATTACACCAAGGTGTATCATAATCATTTTGCTTAAAACCAGTGATAAAAAGAAAATCATAAAGCAGTTGGAGCAAAAGACCTGTTATGTACAGAGGAACAAATATGAGAATGAAAGTAGACTTATCACTGGAAACAATGCAATAGAGAAGACAGTGGAGTGACACCTTTAGAGTGCTGAAAAAAACACCCTTGTCAACCTATAATTCTATGCTTGGTGAAAATACCTTCCACAGTTAAGGTGAAATAAACTTTCTTGGAATGTCAAAAGATGGAAGAATTTATCACTAGAAGACCTGCACTACAGGGTATATTAAAGAAGTCCATCAGGAAAAAGGAAAATGATTCCAGATGAAAGTGTGGATCCACAAAAAGAAATGAAGAATATCAGAAATTGTAAAGATGTAGGTAAACATAGAATATTAAAAAAAAGCTTTTAAAAGGAAAATTGACAGTTCAATGTAAAAAAATGATACCACTGTATTGTGGGTTTTATACACATGCAGAAGTGGAATATATGACAAAAGGAGCAAAAGGATGGGAGGGGGAGAAATAGAAAAATGCTGTTCTAAGGACCTTATACTATATGCGGAGTGCAATAATATTACTTAAGAGTAGACAGTATACCATAAACTCTAGAGCAACCACACACAAACACCAAGAGTTATGGCTAATAAATTGACAGGAGGTTAAATAGAATCATTAAAAATAGTCCATCCAAACACTCCCAAACTCATTCTACAAGGCCACCATCCCCCTGATACCAAAACCAGACAAAGATGTCACAAAGAAAGAAAACTACAGACCAATATCACTGATGAACAAAGACGCAAAGATCCTCAACACAATAGCAGCAAACAGAACCCAACAGCACATTAAAAGGATCATACACCATGATCAAGTGGGGTTTATCCCAGGAATGCAAGGATTCTTTAATATACGCAAGCCAATCAGTGTGATAAACCATATTAACAAATTTGAAGGAGAAAAACCATTTGATCATCTCAATAGATGCAGAAAAAGCTTTCGACAAAATTCAACACCCATTTATGATAAAAACCTTCCCAAAAGTAGGCATAAAGGGAACTTACCTCAACATAATAAAAACCATATATGACAAACCCAAAGCCAACATCGTTCTCAGTGGTGAGAAACTGAGACCATTCCCACTAAGATTTGGAACAAGACAAGTCTTTCTACTCTCACCACTATTATTCAACATAGTTTTGGAAGTTTTAGCCACAGCAATCAGAGAAGAAAAAGAAATAAAAGGAATCCAAATCAGAAAATAAGAAAAACTGTCACTGTTTGCAGATGACATGATACTATACATAGAGAATCCTAAAGATGCTGCCAGAAAACTGCTAGAGCTAATCAATTAATTTTGTAAAGTAGCAGGATACAAAAGAAATGCACAGAAATCTCTTGCACTACTATACACTAATGATGAAAAATCTGAAAGAGAAATTAAGGAAACACTCCTATTTATCGTTGCAACAAAAAGAATAAAATACCTAGGAATAAACCTACCTAAGGATGTGTATGAAGACCTGTATGAAGAACAGTATAAGACACTGATGAAAGAAATTAAAGATGATAAAAACAGATGGAGAGATATACCATGTTCTTGGTTTGGAAGAATCAACCTTGTGAAAATGACTATACTACCCAAAGCAATGTACAGATCCAATGCATTCCCTATCAAACTACCAATGGCATTTTTCACAGAAGTAGAACAAAAAAATTCACAATTTTTATGGAAACACAAAAGACCCCGAATAGCCAAAGCAGTCTTGAGAAAGAAAAATGGAGCTGAAGGAATCAGGCTCCCTGACTTCAGACTATACTACAAAGCTGCAATAATCCAGGCAGTATGGTACTGGCACAAAAACAGAAATATAGATCAATGGAACAGGATAGAAAGCCCAGAGGTAAACCCATGCACATATGGTCACCTTATTTTTGATAAAGGAGGCAAGCATATACAATGGAGAAAAGACAGCCTCTTCAATAAGTGGTGCTGGGAAAACTGGACAGCTACATGTAAAAGAACGAAATTAGAACACTCCCTAGCACCATACACAAAAATAAACTCCAGTGGATTAAAGACCTAAATGTAAGGCCAGACACTATAAAACTCTTAGAAGAAAACATAGGCAGAACACTCTATGACATAAATCACAGCAAGATCCTTTTTGACCCACCTCCTAGAGAAATGGAAATAAAAACAAAAATAAGTAAATGGGATTTAATGAAACTTCAAAGCTTTTACACAGCAAAGGAAACCTTAAACAAGATGAAAAGGCAGCCCTCAGAATGGGAGAAAATATTTGCAGATGAAGCAACTGACAAAGGATTAATCTCCAAAATATAGAGGCAGCTCATGCAGCTCAATATCAGAAAAACAAACAACCCAATCCAAAAATG